TCCATATGTGTGCAGGTAATCCTGGAGGCCAAATGAGGTCACTGGATTCTCGGTAACTGGGGTTACAGGAGGCTGGGAGCTGCCTGACATAGGTGATGGGAATCAAACCTGAGTTTTCTACAAGAACAGTAAGCCCTCTTAACTGTAGAACTGTTTCTCCAGCCCCAACATATAGTTTTCTTTTTTTAAAAAGTATTTTGTGAAAACAACTCCAATTCTACATCTTATTTTGAAGTCCAGCATTCGGTAGACTGGATATCTTGCCACTTGCTTTACTGTTAATAGGTATTCATCATTCACGATGATTTGACAAGTTCCATTACATAAGTGACACTGTCACAGACAGCCTCATTCATGAATCCTTACATATTTTTTTTGCTGCTATGGTTATAGCATGGATTCCTAGAGGTTAGATGGGTTAAATCTAAGAAACCATGCATTTATAATCTTATCAAGAATTGCACCATTCTTTTCCCGAAGATCATACTGGTCTATACTCCAACTGGCAATGGTCTGATTGTTTCTTCCTCATCCAGCCCCCAGCAGTGGAACTGTCACAGCGTGTGACAGGTACTGATTTCCAGAACCAAGATCTCCCGTCTGCTGCCACCATAAATGCAGTGCCTAGCCCAGGGTGAGCACTCACTAGATATTTGCCATTGGCGTTAGCACAGCACGTTGCCCAAGCCGGGAACCGTGCAAATTCTAAACAGCTGGTTCAGTACAGAAGATGAGTTGGAAGGGCAAGGAAAGGCCAGAAGAGGCTCTGAACTGACCTTCCTGGGCTGAAGGTGGGGCTTTGCCTCCATTCAGTATGTACTCTGCCATCTTGAAACCTTAAGTTCAAATGTGTTGATTCACTGTCCACCACACTACTTTCCCGCGGGACTAATGACAATAGTCACAGATGAGGAGGCACACTCACTCACATGCCCACTGGGAGTGAGAATCGCAGCTTTCCGAGGCAGTGTTCACTTGGCTGTTTAATGCCTGCGGGCTTCTAGGGAAAAGAAACAGGCATTGCTCATAAGGCATAAGGCGGGTTGTTACTTTTTTCCAAGCGTTTCCCCTCCTTAGCGGGGATGGAAACTCTATAGAAAGAAGACGGACTAAAACTTTTCTGTTACCCGTCGCAGCAGCAAGGGTGGAGAAGGGCTTCAGAGGTCACTCAATAGGCACAGAGCGGAGACACATCTTGGGACTAGTTTTTGGTCTAACTTTAGGAAATTTGAAGCCACACCTCCTGGAAATGAATTGATTAGATTGCTATGGGAATGTTTATTTCATTCAAATTTACCTTTGCAAATGACGAGCCATGCTCAGAGATGTCTTAGGCCGAATAGCTACTCCTGCAACATTTGCCCAGGCCAGGCCTCTTGGATCAGGGTGGGCCAGAGAGAAATGTCTGAGGAAATGGGATTGCAGAAGGTAACAGTTATTGGAACAATTTGGCCCCAAAGCCAAGGATGCCTCAATCAATATGCATGACTTTCAAAATTCCTATTTTAATCACCGAAACGGAAATGAAATTCCCGATGTAGCGTTTAGTTGAAAAAATAAATTACGAGTGGTATATGATATTCATGCATACCATTTCCTCTGAAGTTCTTTTTAAGAATTGAAGAAAATAACCATATCACACACTGGAAAGAAACTAGCCTGCAAGTCCAGAGACTTAGTTTCATGCCTTAAACCTACCAGCAGGCATCTATGGGAACGAAAGCTCTGCCTTCCCTCTTTTCACTCAATTAGAACTGAAGAGCTGGTGATTTCTAAGTTCCCCTCAACTCCCCTGAGGCTGAGTTGTTAAGTCCTTTTTAGTGTCAAGAACTCATCCACCCATCCTCTCTCACACACATCCTTTCCACAGCTATTTAGTGACTTCCTACCTGGATGGTGCCCATGTGACTTGAGAAGACAGGCCATGGCATCACCATGCTTCAATGCATCCAGACACATCTGTGGTAGACTTTGACCCCCAACGTCTCTGTCACTGGCCTCACCTTCAACACGCCTTGTGTTTCTTCAATTTCTGCTCTATCCTACATCTTCCATATTCTTCACGATGCCCGGACTCCAGCCTCGCCTCTTCTCAGATGAGCTGTGGCAAAAAAAAAAAAAAAAGACTTCTAACAAGCCTTCCCAGCTGCTACATTTTCCTTCCAAATACATGGCTACATGCTGTGTCCACAGCTGTCTACAACTTGCCCTTTCAATCAACAGGTTTTTGAAGGCTTACAGAATGGCAACACTGCTCCTGGACCTTTTAAGGGCTGCACTGCACAGGGAAGAAAACGGACACATTGCTTGACGTGAAGACGTGACAGACTGTATTGGTGAAGGGATGCTTCTTTGTTTCCTCTCACAAAGGCGTCACCTTAATAATCTCTTACTTAAGCTTCTAACCTCTCACACTTCAAGCCCACTTACCATTCCTTCTTCAACTGTTTCTCTTCATCAGACGTAGCAACTCAGTAGCCTGGATCCAATGAGTATAAGCTTATCCTTTCATAACCTTGAATGGCTCCCTTTTGTCCTCAGGGAGAAAGCCAGACCATTGTTCAGGGCACTTAAAGCTCTTTCTGAGCTTGATATTACCTTTCCAATTAATTCTGTTTGTAAGTTCCCTTCTTTCTCTCATCCTGAGTTCATGGCTGAAGTCTTATCTTTCCACCACCAAATGTACAGCCTCATCCAGGGCTTTTATTTCTGTTGCCCTTGAAGCTAAGCCATCACCTCTTCCAAGAAGGCCCAATACAGGTTGACTGCCTAGAGCGTCTTAGCCTCTCTTCAAAGTCTAGTTGAAATTCTGTCTTTTCCAAGATTAGAGAGTTCTTGCACCCATTCAGAAATAATTTTTTACCAACTTCCTGGCATTTCTTATGGTAAATATTCTGTGTGTAAGTCTCTTTCCTGTTTGCTTGCTATAATCTGGATTTTTAGGAAGACATGCTTGGGTTTTGAGGTCTTCTGTAACACAAAGAACATAGCGCCTCATGCTTGAGCTAACTGCACCAGACAGAGTGACCCTATATCTTTTAGTTTTCATTGGTGGATATGAATCCAGGACCTTGCACATATTGGGTAAGTATTCTCCCACGGAGCCAGACCCACCCAATATTTCATGATGCTTCGTGCTTGCAACAGATGATGAAACTGGACCCAGAGAAAGGCTAGGTGAACTACTCATGGCTTCAACAAGTAATCCAACCAGAGTAACATCAATAACCTGGCTTGCTCCTCCCCACAAGAAGCTACTGTCCTCACTGGATGCCTTACAGATGTAGCCATCTGGAGAAGTGGGAGATGTATTACCCAGGTATTTGCAAGAAAGTGGCAGCTAGACTTGTTGATGAATAATAAATGGCCATTTGACAAAAATACAAGGGCATTGTAGGAAAAGAATACAATTAGAGCTGGGTCCTCTGGTGAGTTCAGGAATGCTTCTGAGGACATGAAAACTATCTGTTCATTCCGGTCCCCAGATTGTTAGTAGTCTAGGGAGGGAACCGCCTTGCTCTTGCTCCAGGGTTTAACTCTACTGTTTGTGTCCAGACAGCCCTCATTGGATAAATATGTCACAGGAATTACTCTGCTCAGCAGATACTACTTGAGTGTTTCCTGCATCTATGTGACAGTAAACAATTTCAGACTAGGATCTCAGCACTCCCACTAGCTCTATGAAGGCTCAAAGAAGCTCCAATGATATTGTAGACCCTACAAATGAAACCACAGGCCCTAGAAGGTTTCCCTGACCATACCTGTTCCTCTAGCTGGCTGATAAACAGGACAAAATAAGCATCAACAGAACAAGCTATAAAAAAAAAGAAAAAAATCTTTCCTGTCTAAGAAACTGTGTATGCGTGTGCATGTGTGCTTGTGTGTGTGTGTGTGTGTGTGTGTGAGAGAGAGAGAGAGAGAGAGAGAGAGGAACACCTCTGCCATAGGCATCAGTCTGCCTCTGTAGACTGAAGCTCCAAGTAGTGGCTGCCTGTGTCGGTCTGCATGGCTTCTAGTTTTGCACTAGAATAGGGGATAACCAGGTCTGTGTCAGTGAGTAGTTCCAGACCACATTTTGTTGAACCAGTGAGTCAGAAAAGGCTTCGAGCAGAGCTGGTGTGGGGAGAGCAAAGCATGGGAGGTAGGAAGTGTCTCAGCTTGGAGCAGGAGGAATAGGCTTTTCCTTCTCTATCAAGTTTTGGGGAGGCCTTACACAGTCACCTCTTTCCTCTGGGCCTTGATTTCTTACTCCATCTCTGAATGACAGACCCTTATTGTGTTGGAAGGAAAAAACCCTGGCAAAATACTAATAGTCGACTTAAGAAAGAAGACACAGCTTTCTCCCCACATGTCATGTGGGGATGGAGGCTCATTCTTCATTCTTATCCAGGTTTCCCACCCTCTGCACAGTGTCGACTGGTTGAGATGCAACGATCTCTTGTTAAGGGTGTTGCTCTGGCAGTGTCAGGTATATACCTCCAGTGATGTGTAATTCCCACCACCCCCCATTGAAGTACCCAACATGTCTCCATATACTGCCAGATGTTCCCCAAGCAAAAACTTGCCTCTACTTGAGAATTTCCGGTTTTGGTTGTATTGCCAACCCAAATGGATGGATCGTTTAGGTGAAGGATCTTAGCATGGACATGGTGGGACATGGGTATGGGAAGCAGGCACCACAGAGACTCCTGCAGTTCCTGTGACCTACAGATAGGGTTTCTGTGGAGCCCAGATTAGGTAGAATGCCTGAGATTTCCAGGCAGATCTCTGTGTTAGCACTGACTGGCTGTGGTCCTCATCAGCTTAACTAACCTCTGTGAGCCTCAGGCCCTACATGAATCTGACAGATGTAATTCTCCTCCTCCATGAATCCTTCTTTCCATCCTCTATTGTGTTCACACACTGCCACATAGTTGCTAGGAAAACTAAGAGTTATGTGTGTGGAAGACATAATAGAATTAAGCAACAACAAAACAGAACAAATGTGTAGGGTTTGTTGTTTTTGTTTATTTGTTTGTTCTGACTTTTCTCTCCTGAGAAATCAAAGAAACAGATATTTTGCTCCTGGGTTTTTTGTTTTGTTTTTGCCAAGAATGCTAATGTTGACATCATAGGTCCCTTCACAGAAGTAATAAAATCAAACAATGACGAGCTTCTTTCTTCTGCCATGGGAGTTACTTTACATTTCTTCAGTATATACAGAAGCCCCTCAAAGAAGGTACCCCACAGCTAGGCAAAGTCAAGAGGGTTTGAGTTGACTGTCGTGTACCTGGGAGTAGCTTGGCTCTGTGTTGCCTCTCTCCTCAGCAAGCCTGCTATCCTGTGGGGTGTCAGAGTGGCTGTGTCTTCAGTAGCTGAGATCCTCAGAACTGAGAGAGGCGTTGGTCCAGCTGGCGATTTCTTAGTAGGAACAGATGACCCTAGCTCTGGTCGGTTAGGACTAGGGTGGATGGTCCTCTCAATTGCATAGGCCTAATCAGGCTGGGTCCTTTGGTTGGAACCATATTGTTCAGGTCCTAGCAAACAGACAAGACATCAGACCAGCTGGCTACAGACTGCTCAGAATGCTGCACAGTTATTCAGTATCAAACTACAGTTTTTCTCCCCTCCCTCTCTCTCTTTTTTCCTTCCCATTCTCTCTTTTTTTAAAGACAAGATCTCAGTCTGTGACTGAAGCAGACCTTAAACTCAATTCTTCTTCTACCTCCCAAGTGCCAGGATCAGCTTATGCCATGACACCCAGCCAAACTAGAATTTTCCATCAGAAGCCTGTGGAGTTGCAGATCAGGTTCAGGAGGGAGAATGCAAGCCACAGTTGTAGACACCTTTATTTCTAGCCTGTTTTCACCTTTTGCATGCAGTGTGGAATCGGTGGTGAAGGATGTTACCCCCATACCCTGAGTGTGTACCTTGGCCCTGCTCTCCATAGCTCAATGCCTGTGGGCAGCTGTATGGAGAAATGTCGCTGTAGCACTCCGTGTGCCACTTGGCTACACAGTAGCTTCTTGGATTAGTGGTGTAATCACCTTCCACATTGCACATGAAGTCTGAAGTTCAGACAAGTGCATCCTCACACAGCATGACCTCCCCGGAGGTCACTTCTCTTTCAGTCAGCTGAATGCCACCAGTTTCTCAGAATCTGTGCAAATGTAACCTCCTCAATGTATTCTGCTTCCAAAGTAGCATTACGTTTAGCTTCCTATGAGCCCAAAAGCATTATGCTTGTTCTCTGTGTCACCGTGACACTCACTTGGATCAGAAAAATCCCCAACATGAAAACATGACACACAACAGTGTGGTATGGGTCATAGAGAAGCCAGATGAGGATCCAAGAATGGGTCCTGGCTTCCTATAGTCACATGTCATGGTTCCTTTGAAGGGCATTATCACTTCAAGATCCAAGTGGAGCTCCATATGTGCTGCCTCCCTTGGCACTCTGTCAAAGGAAGGAATAGATATGACACAATCAATCCTGATCCACTCTTACTCCAACACATAGCTTAACCAAAAATTGAGGGGTCAGAGCTTTCAAATTCTTGGGAAATGCAGATGGTACTGAACCAAGAAGAGCTTGCTGATGGGCAAATGGTGATGTATGATGGCAACCTATGCTGAAACCCAGGCATGGCACAGGGCAATACGCTCACATTTCACGATGGCTGAGCAAAGGACAAGAGTCAGACATAGAAGCATACCCTACTTAGTAGCAAACTATAGAAATTGGGGAACGTGAAATGCATATGGGTAGAGACTACATCATCTCCTTGAGCCTGACTTGCAGATGTCTGCAGTAGCATCATAACAATGCTGGTCTCTCCTGATTGGTCAAGTCATAACTTATGATCCTTAGGAGGGATCTTATTATTATTATTATTCTTTGTTGAAGAAGATGTAAAAAAAATCTAAAGTTTATGGCTGAGGCAGTTTCATTATAGGGAGTTGAATACAATCTAAATTTCATTGTAGTTTCCTCGTTCTATACTGATTCTGTCCATTAAAATTTTAATTTTCTTTTTCTAGATAATGCACACATTAGGCACAGAATGAAATAAGTACCAAAGGATAGGCAACAAGAAGTCAACCATCCTCCAGCCACCAACTTTCTTTCAAGTGTCACTTTACTCTTTCCTGGGTCCTTGAACATGTGGGAACCAAAAAGTGACTATAAAAAGGAAACTTTTTTTAGTGCAATGTATCTATGCTGTTAAGATACAATCATGCCATCATCTGCATGTTGCTTAACCACAATTTTATATGTAGATCTTTCTTAAAAAGTGTTCCCAACTGACAAAGGTATTTGGAGGCACCCAGTCAAGACCATTCCTTTGACAGGTATCTGTCCCAAAGATTCTTTAGAGAGGTTGCCCAGTGTTGTCTAAAGCATCAAAATAGAGGACAGAGCTGAGGACTCTTGGCTGTAGCTACTAAAACATTCACCCCAGCCCAGGCCGCTAAAGATAGAGGTTCCCTCTCCACAGAAAAGACCAAGAAAGATTTCTTCATCTTGTTCTGCCAAGGTCACAAGGTGTGTGTGTGTGTGTGTGTGTGTGTGTGTGTGTGTGTGTGTGTGTGTGTATGTGTAAATTCCAGTTCAAATAAGGCAGATTAAGAAAGTCATTTCCACAAAGGCTGCTCAAATAGAGAAAGCCATTCTATCTGTATCTACTCAAGCTCTGTCCTCTTCAAACTTACCCCCAGCACAGAGAAATGGGGTAGCAGGGTACAGGATGCTGCTGCTTGGGAGTCTGTTGTGGGTCCTGCCCATGGCCTGTTCTCCTACCCTAAAGCCACCATTTCCCACCTTCCCGTGGGTCTCTGTCCCAGCGCCGTTCCTTCCCGTGGATCTCTGTCCCAGCGCTGTTCCTTCCCGTGGATCTCTGTCTCAGCGCCGTTCCTTCCCGTGGATCTCTGTCCCAGCGTCGTTCCTTCCGGTGGATCTCTGTCTCAGTGCGGTTCCTTCCCGTGGATCTCTGTCCCAGCACCGTTCCTTCCGGTGGATCTCTGTCTCAGTGCGGTTCCTTCCCATGGACCTCTGTCTCAGCGCCGTTCCTTCCCGTGGATCTCTGTCCCAGCACCGTTCCTTCCCGTGGGTCTCTGTCTCAGCGCCGTTCCTTCCCGTGGGTCTCTGTCTCAGCGCCGTTCCTTGAGACTCTGTTCTCTCACCCTAGTGTCGCCGCTTGCCACCTCCCTGTGGATCTTTTCCTTAGTAGCCAGTAACAAGGGCCTTTTGGAATCACAACAGTTTGGATGTTAACTTGGCAGTAAAGTGAGCCCCCTCCGCCCTCCTCCTCCCAGGACCCATCTGATAGAGTTACAGAAGGCTTCTCAGACTCTCAACAACCCTCACCAGAACCTCACTGAATAACACATCGTCTGGCAACAGGAGGCGTTTGATTACATTTGGAAGGGATGCCTGCGTCAACTCCAGTTGTCTCTGAAATGCAACTGATAGGCCTCACGTGGGGCAGCCAACAGTTTGCCTTCACCCACTCCCCTCTCCACAATGAGTCCTCTCCTGGGAAAACAAGAAACCTACGTGCCACCCTGAGTGAGAGACAAACGGGAGCTGTCTCCCGTCATCGCATCCCAGGCATGGCAAGCAAGAGCATGCGCCTAGGACTTTGCTATGGCAAGTCATGCTTCAGGCATCTCTGAGCCAAGAGACCAAAGGACTCGTCTCTGCTTCCATTTCAGCTCACAGGCATAGGTTCTCATGTGTAGTACACAAAGTACCACACTGCTGTCCCTTCAGCAAATCTGCTGACCCCCCCACCCCGTTTCCACCTTACTTAGTCGTGACACTGTAGGTGGAATTACGTTTCACATAGATGCCCCTGTCCTAATCTTTGGGACCTATAAATGTGTTATTTCACAAGGCAAGTGTCAATTAAAGTTCCAGATAGAATTAGGCTTGTGGCAGCTGGTTTTAAATGGGAATAGATGTGCGTTGTCTGTGTAACACCAACGTCAATACAGACATTCATGAACAGCAACCCGCAGGGTCAGAGCAGAGTGGTGGAACCTTGAGAAAGGTTCTACCTCCGTCGCTAGCGTAAAGAGCAGGCAAGAGGACTGTGAGCCAAGGGCTGGTGCAGCCCTTACAGCCTGGCAAGCAGATTCTCCAGTTGCACTCACTGGATTTTAGCTGAGTGACAGCCAGGCTTCTAATGTCTGGAACTGCCCAATAATAAACGTTGCAATCGCAGTAAGCAGAAAACCTATTCAGTGAGTGCAGATCTGGCACCTCATGCTGCAGGGGCTTTCCCAAAGCATGTGTTTGGCATCTGTCCTTAGGGTCCAGCTAAGGAACTGAAGCCGCTTCATATGTCTACACAGAAGGGGTTGCCGGTGGGTCTTCGCTACACAGGTTGAGAAGCTGGTGCAGGCATTAGCAAGAGGAGTCGGTACTCCATTGGGAGTTGGTTAGGCCAGTAGGACAGAGAAAGGAGGTCATGTCATTGGAGGTCAGAGGCTAGACTGTCCAGTGGAAACTGGACCAGAGTGGTCCTATTCAGCGGGAGCAGGAGCCATGAAGAGGACAGAGCCCAGCTGAAGAAGCCCTTCTGTTGAGGGAGAAAAGGAAAGATTCCTCCCCGCCTCTCCCTTCTGCTTGTCCTCCAACGTCCTGATGTTGCTTCCCTGCTAGAAGCTCGATGACGTGGGAACCTGGATTTGTGGCACGGCTGGACTAGGGCGGTGACTAGGTTAAGGAATCTGTTGTGCTAGTGCAAGTGGATGCGCACACAAACTGTGCTTGAAATTCATTTCTTTCTTAGCCTGGCTTCTTAGCCACTCTATAATGTGGTCCTTCCCTACCTTCTTGGCCACTCTATAATGTGGTCCTTCCCTACCTTCTTGGCCACTCTATAGTATGGTCCTTCCCTACCTCCTTGGCCACTCTATAATGTGGTCCTTCCCTACCTCCTTGGCCACTCTATAGTATGGTCCTTCCCTACCTCCTTGGCCACTCTATAATGTGGTCCTTCCCTACCTCCTTGGCTACTCTATAGTATGGTCCTTCCCTACCTCCTTGGCCACTCTATAGTATGGTCCTTCCCTACCTCCTTGGCCACTCTATAGTATGGTCCTTCCCTACCTCCTTGGCCACTCTATAGTATGGTCCTTCCCTACCTCCTTGGCCACTCTATAATGTGGTCCTTCCCTACCTCCTTGGCCACTCTATAGTATGGTCCTTCCCTACCTCCTTGGCCACTCTATAGTATGGTCCTTCCCTACCTCCTTGGCCACTCTATAGTATGGTCCTTCCCTACCTCCTTGGCTACTCTATAGTATGGTCCTTCCCTACCTCCTTGGCCACTCTATAGTATGGTCCTTCCCTACCTTCTTGGCCCTCCTCTAGTGGCCTCCCTTCTTACACAGCATGTTAACTATCCTTGGCTCCTCTCAGGGCCTCTGTCTCTGCCATCTCCCTTAACTTGTTCTCACACGGTTTTCAGTTGTCTATTGTTTGACCAGGCCATCCCTTTCTCCATCTAAAACAGGGACCTGCCCAACCCAGGCACTGTAGCCTCTCCATATTACGGGAGATGGTCTTGGTTGTTATGCACTGACTTTTTCATCATCCCCCCCCCCCCGCAACTCCCACCCTCGGCATAGAGAGAGCTCCTTGAGGGCAGGAATACCGTCTTGCCTCCCTTTCTCCCTTTGTAATCCGCATCAGTTAGCTGTCTCCCAACACTTGTGTGTTCTTGGGAACCAGGTGGATTATTTCAGATTCTCTTTAGTTAGGCGCACCTGAGTGCTGGCTGCTGAAACTCTAGTGGAAGTGTGTCATGCAGCTTCCAGTCTGTCTGAAAACCTTCTGTGCCCATTCCTATGAGTTTCACCTCCTGCCAGGCAATGACAAGGCCCTGGGGAATGGTGTAGGCACAAGATGAAAGAAATTTGGGCTCCCAAGCGACTAAGTTCGGTAGAGTTGCTCCAGCAACTGACATGCCCAACCAGGATTGCCATATGAATGTGAAGTTAGCTGTGTTGACTCATTACATTAGCCTGCTCAGCCAACAATCCCCAGTTCCAAGAACCGTCCCCTGTACAATGACTGGCGCTCAACATGTAGTGAGTGTGAGATTGACTATTAGACACTCAAGAATGGAGTATTTCCTGATGGGATGTTTGTTTCCTATCCTCATTCCTTGTCCACTGGGCTCCCTGAGGACCAAGAAATGTTCTATGTATTGCCTCGCACAGGGTGCTTAGTCATTGGTCAATGAATGGGTGTGATACTGAATATCTAGGCTATTTAAGGGGAACACTGACTGGGAAGCCTGATGGGAAGGCACGAGACACACATTCTTAGGTGCCCTGCCGTGTAACTAGCTGTGTTCAGCTAGAGTTTACAAAGGGCTCCTCTCTGTGGTTCTATTGTGATTTCAACTTTGTAATGACTGGATTTGAGCTCACAGGGGTTAAGTATTGTGTGAGAGCATAATTTTTGAAGCAAGCAACAATGCTGAAATTAATTCCTGGTTCAAAGATATGTATTGAGTGCCTACAATGGGCTACACCCACCCCACACTCACCCCATACCCTCCCTGGCTAAGCTCTCTCACCTAGTAAGGGCTCAGGAAATATGAGAACCCAAGTTGTGAAGGGACTAGAATTGCCTTCCTGAGGATCCATGCTGGGGAGGGGATGCCAGACTCTAGCCAGGCTGAGAACTGCCTATGTCTGCTGCTAAGATGTCCAGCTGACACCACTGCTGTGTGCCTTCTGTGTTTCTGGGTGGTCTGCCAGAGGGCCCTGAAGTCAGCAACATCTCTCTGACCCCCTCTGTGGCTCTCCCACTTGCCCAGGCTAATGGCTCTGGCATTCCAAGCCTGCCCTTTTCCATACATTCTTTCTTGCTCTGAGTGCCAAGATTTTGGTCGACCGACGATTTTGAGTGGGTTCCAGGCCATTTCGCTCCGTCAGATTTGGGTAAAAGTTTCCTCCCACTCTGCCTAGGCCTCAGATAACCCAACAGGGTGTGATCAGCCTCTGCAGAGGGGTGGGGTGGGGAGCTGCTGGAGGTTTTCAGGCAGGGCGTTAAGGCTGAGGTGTTCATAGCTACTGCGCTTATCTGCACTGATCAAAGTGAACAGAGTGTGCTGGCGATGGGCTGGTTGGGAAAATTAGGGAAGAGAGCTAAGGACAACGTAACTTGTCTAAACAGGGACTGAAAGGGCTCCTGGAAGGTGCCTGGCAGGTTGGGTTATTTGTCAGGGTGAAGGGGACATGGGCAGGGGTCTGCCAGGCCCTCAGTCAGTGGAGAGAGAGAGAGAGAGGAGAGAGAGAGAGAGAGAGATTGAGAGACAGCGTACTGAGGCACCCAGGGGCTGTCTGCACAAGGGCAGGACTCAGCATCCCCTGGCCTGGAGCTGCTCCTTGCTGAGTCTGGGTGTCTCTCTCTGTAAATAAATTTGCCACTGTTTTTCCAGAGCAGATTGTCTCAAGAATTGTGCATCTGAGGTGGGGTGAAAGACAAATATGCCTTTTCATAATAGCTTTACACCTGGAGCACTGGAGGACCGGTTTATTACCTTGGTAAACACAAGTGAGAATTCAAGCAAAGTACAAACTTTGCCCAAGGCACTTTTGACAGTGCACTTTGTGTCTGTGAAGCCAGCAGATAGAGCCACGGCAGGAGGCGGGGCCTGCTTTGTTTTACCTACCCTTTCTCTTGTCTGATTTCCAAGGTTTAAAAGTTCCTGTGTGTGTGTGTGTGTGTGTGTGTGTGAGAGAGAGAGAGAGAGAGAGAGAGAGAGAGAGAGAGAGAGAGAGAGAGAGAGAGAGGGAGGGAGGGAGGGAGGGAGGGAGGGAGGGAGGGAGGGAGGGGGAGAGAGAGGGAGAGAGGGAGGGAGGGAGAGGGAGAGAGAGGGAGAGAGGGAGGGAGGGAGGAGAGGGACAGACAGAGAGACAGAGAGAGGGTGATTGGGAGAAGGTGGAGAGGGAGAGGAGTGAGTGTTGGAGGGGTAGTTTTCCCAGCATTTTGAAATCACTTTGTTTAGTGTGAAAAAAATATGGGAGCCAATTTATTTTATTTCAAGAGATAAGGTGCTCCTTGCTACTCTTGGTGGCTAGTGCTTATGAGTGGGAGACAGGGTGAACCAGTTTGAGAAACACAGAAGGAATGAAGGTTTGCGTAAAAATCATACTTAAATTAAGCATTTAAAATGCAGTAAATATTGATTCAGTGCCCATTTTGTGCCAGGTACAGAGCATGAACTT